AGGACCTAGCTTGCAACGTTTCTGCTTTATAGATCGGTAGGTCGGATCGACGTTGAGTTCGTGTGAGGTTACCTCGAGGCTTATTCCTCGGAGGTTCGCACTTGACCAGGCGAAATTGTCTTTGTTTTCCTTGAGAAAGGTTATGAGATCCTCTCGTATTGCTGGGTCGAGGTCGTGACGTATCCCAACGCATCGCTTAAGATCTGATTCATCTATGGAGACCTGCGTTATCATTGATTTTCGAGGTCCACGTTGAGAAGGGTCTAAGGATCTGACTGTTTTCATTTCTGCGAGTTTGTCCTTTATCATTAGTACTACTGGGTTGGCTTTTTTGATATGCTCGTAGCCACCCATATAGCATTTTCGGGAGCTGTGTTGGCTGTCGTATACGACTGCTATCCTCTTGTCGGAAGGGAATTTAATGCATTGGTGGTAGGTTGAAGGGACGGCTTTCATGGCGTGTAGCCATGGTCTTCGCAATATTGCGTTGAAAGAAGCTTTCTTATTGACCTCGAGAAAGTTCGTGAGTTGTCTTACTCCTCGTGCGACGGTTGGAAGCTGGATGGTTCCTAGGGAAAAGGTCATATCTCCAGCAAACCCGGTAAGTGGCGTTTTTCTGCCTTGCAACTTGGAATTGAGGTGCCCCATTTTTTTGAAGGCGTCGTAGAAGAGTACGTCAACTGAGCTTCCCTTGTCAATCATTATACAGGAGAGTTTCTAGTTGCCTATGTCGATTCGGATAACGAGAGCGTCATCGTGAGGTTTATCGAGGTCGGTGGTCTCACTTTCCCAGAATGTGATCTAGTGATCAGGTCCCATCATCGGGCTTTAGCCTTTTGTGTAGGAATCTGTCTTCCTCTTATGAGTTTTGATCGAATTGATTGAGTCGTTGTAGAGCTGAGATCCTCCCATGATGAAATCGATGCGTTTCGGGAAGAGGTGCTCGGTTGCGTTTCTACAGAATTTTGAGAGGCCTAGTGGGAACCTCCTGTTTTTCTTTTGCGGGGCGGGAGGAGGTGTAGTGACTGACCATCCTGTCCTGCCACTCAGGTCTAGTACTGCAAAGACTAGGTCTATACGCTCTTTCCTAGCAGGTGGAGGAGAGTCACCTCCCTCCGGTGTTCGGTCCCGTTTTTTTCGTTTGGGAGTTTGCTCCTCCTCCTGCTCGTCGGGAGGAGGGGTTTCGGCTTTGGGGTTTGAACCTTTTTTAGTTTTGCCCCCAGCTTCGATTAATGTTTTAACGGCGCAACATTTCTCGGTGGAATGTCCTCTTTTTTGTGGAACTTGTAATATTTTCCGAGGTCAATTTCTGGACTCTCGTCCTCGGTTGCCTCTTCTATTGCGAATAGGGTATGCTGCCCTTGCGTTTGGTTTTCCTTTTTGAAGGGTTTTTTAGTTGCAAGGGGAGCGCTTTGTGTTTTAGATTCTTTGAATCTTAAGGCTAGCACAGAGACCTCCTCTTCGACTTTGGCGAATTGAAAAGCTTTGTGAAGGGCATCGTCTAAAGAGACAGGTTGCCTACTAGTGAGTTCCTCACAGAATCTAGAGGAAAACCACAAGCCGTTGCGAAGGGCGGCTATGGCTACCTCGTCGTTTAGGTTCGCAAACTTTGATTTGATTGTTTTGAATTTTTCGATGTAAGATCGCATGGATTCGTTCTGAAGTTAGGTTTCCTTTGAGACTAGCAAACCATTCGAGGGCGTGATCTACGAGGTTTTCTGCGAAGAAATGACAATGACTTGGTTCGTTTTCTTCGTCCGTCAGGAATGCTCGTGTTATAGCAAAACAGAAGGATCTGAGATGAGCCATTGGGTCGCTCGTTCCGTCGTACTCCGGGAAACGGAGTCTCCCGACGTCTTAGATGCGATAATGGGCGATCCTATCCGTGAACAAGGTGCCCCTGATTTCTTCGATCACTCGATCTATGTCGGGAGCATCGCTCACTGCTAGACGCATTCGTGAATGCATTTGAGCCATGTTCGTATTTGTTTGAGCTTCGTAATTGCGAAATGTTTCCATATCCACGACGTTACGCAGATCGATCGGTGTTGGGGGATCGGTTGGACCGTTAAGGAGGTCGCTTCCTGGTATCCGGCGAATGGATTGTGGATTAGCGATAGAGGTCTGTTGTTGTGTTGAGTTCTCGGGGACGAGGGAGCTGGACGCGGTTGTTTGGTTTCTCGTGCACGTGTACCTCGGGGGCGAGTAGCCTAGCGATAACAAAGGTGGGAGCGGTAGCCTTGGGAAGGTAGGCGTTGCACGTGTCTCGTTCCCTGTTGATGGGTTTTCGACGCGAGTTTTCACGGGTGCCTGTAAAAAGGCGACCTGCCGGTTGATAGGAGGTGAGACCTATATCGAGGCGAAGTCTAGACGAATCTTTGGTGTGGGATTTGTCCGGGAGACGGTACCTGTTAGATATATGGGGATCTGGGCAGGAATCCCAGTTTCACGAGGGGAAATTTCCTTACCCGCGGTATCGCGCTCTACCTCATGTACCATGCGAGTGGAGTCGCTTCTCTGGTTACCCACCATTGCGGCGAGGTTGCGATGCACAACTTCTTGGATTTTGCTTATGTTGATCAAGTTCAGGATCATTGCATGGAGCTCGGCCAGGTCGGTGGCAAGTCTCGGAGGGACCTGATTAGACGGGTTGGCCGGGTTATCTACGTTAGGAGGCTGTATCGTGATATTTTGCTCTCCATCCCTTGTTTGCGGGGGGGGGGAGGATTTGGTCAGATCCAGAAGAGTTCGAGTTTTGGGAGATGTTCTCCGCATCAACGTCATGGACAGCATCAACCTGGGTTCCGAGAGGGAGATATGTTGGGAGGTGCCCGTCCGTGACGTTATCGTTTGGGATCTGAACTGGTAAGCCATATCTCGTTGAATTGGATGAATTGGGATCCATGATCAGTGTTCAAAATTGATGTGTAAGTTTTGGTGTTGGAATGATCTATTTCCGTCCCCACAGACGACGCCAAATGAGGGCTAAGAACGAATGGACTTTTTGTATTGATTGTGACAAAGCTTTTACAATGTGAAAGGAGATTACAAGTGTAAAAGTATGTGTGAATGTAAAGCTGGATTGAATGTCTCTTCCAAGTCGTCCTTGCTCCCCTATATAGGTCTACGCACGTGGTAGCTCCGTCCGGGATCTGCGGAGATCCTCCTGCATATTCGGCAGGTCAGTTCTGAGATATTAGGTCCGGTCCGCGTATATCTCCTTGTTAGTTCCTAGGTTGTTATTCGCTTATCTCCCTTCATCAGGTAACCGGGCTTAGCAGGCCCAAATACCCATTCGCGTATGTGCTCTTCAGTTGCGTAGGTTCTCTACTTGGTGGGCTTGGTGGGCTTTGTGGGTTGGCTTGGTATTTTCGTAGGTGGATTCCTGGAGGGGAATCCAGCTCCAACAATGTTAATGATGGTACTAAGCCGCATATGAGATCTCTTAGATTCTTATGCTTAAGGCTTATGGTTGGGAGGTTGTGTTGAGCAAGGATATTGATGATTCTATGTGTTTGAGTAACCATGGGTCTTGATGTGTGGTGCTCGTGGTAGGAGGCAGAGACCATAAGCGTATCAAGATTGTGGTATGTCTAACCTTCGTAGTGAACCGTTACTTATGACTCCAATTTGTTTTACAGGAAACCTTAGTGGGAACCATTAGAGGGATGCTCTGGACGTAGAAAGCCGGTATAGAGTTGGTTGCTTTTTGCAAAACTTAATGATTTTGATTTTTTTGTTGGATTTGAGCGTGTATGCTCAAGGGCCCATTGTTAAAACGTTTTGGATACTTGGTGGTAAGAAGATTTATATGTTATAAATTATTTTTTCCCTATAAAGAGTGTGTATCATTCGATATTAGTCTTGTCCGGACAAACAAAACTCATGATCATGGCAAGGGTTGAAAAGCCTAAACCGCGTTCGTGAGGGATGGTTCATTTGGAACCTCAATTGGGTTGTCTGTGTGAGCTATCATCGTAGCATTTCCGGGTTGCCCTTGTCTTGTCCGGCCATAGAGCGATTCAAGGGCGTTGCAATTTTTGGTTTAAGAGCATGGTTCAGGATGCTAACCGGACACACATTTTCTTAAGATTTTATCGAGTAAATGAGTCTCAAAAGCAACTAGGTAGACCGGTATGTCCCGGGTTAGTGGGTAATGGGTTAGGTTTTACCCTTGTTGTTGTTGTTGCAGTTTATGTTGGATTGGATCGAGAATGGATGGTCGTGGGGGATCGTAACCAAGATTTTAAAGTGTTGAAGAATTATGGCCGAGCTCAGTAACGAGGGATTGTAACTTAAGTGAGGGCAAGTGGGAAAGCAGGTGAGTTGTTTTGGAAAAAACAAAGGAATAGTGAAAGAGAAGTTGAGGAGATTTCTGGAGAAAGAGAAAGAGAAAGAACCAAGGTGGGTGATGAGATGCGAGTTGTAGAGGACAAGAGCTGAAAGTATAAAGATCGTTTCTAAGGAAAGAGGAAAACGGAAGATGAATGACATCATTTGGAAGAATGATGAGAAAGAGTTAATCGGGGTAAGGCATGAGGGAAGTAATGAAACTGAGAACAAGTAAGTGATTGAAAGGAAAGTTATCGAGTTCACTTAACTGGATACTAAGTACCGGGGGAGCAAAACAATTTAAGAGATATAGGTGGTGATCACAAATCAATGTATTTGGTGAGTAATGATGGAGTTCGAGAAAGAAGATGGAGTAAATTTTTGGGATCATAATAAAGGCAAAAGGAGGCGTAGTAAGGCAAGGTGAGGTGAATCAAAAACCGAGAAGGTAAAGTTTGATCAAAGGAATATCATTATCGGAGCTGGTGCGAATGCTTCTATCATAGTTCTCATGGTAATTGCCATCTGACTAAGCCAAGTTTTCAACAAGCTCCCATCCTTCTTCAACGTCTTTGTTGAGGAAGTTACCATTTGAAGCAATATCAAGCAGCATACTTATCTTAGGAAGTACTCCTCTGTAGAGTATGCTAAGATGAGAAGCCTGCTTAATTCCGTGATTAGGGCATTTGGTTTGATAACCTTTGAAGCGCTTCCAAGCTTCAGAAAAGGTTTCAACTTGCTTCTAAGTGAATACGGATATCTCATTCCGGAGTCTTGCAGTTTTGGAGTTGGAGAAGAATTTTGCCAAGAAGGTCTTTTTGCAGTCATCCCATGTTGTGATTGAATTGGGTTGCACTTGCTCATCTACAACGTCAACCATTGTGTTTGTTGATGTTTGTTCTCTCACTTGGCGAGCAATACGGTCGATGTTATCGTTGAATAGAAGGTTCTGAATTCCTTGTGACCGTGTATGCATACAACACGTTCAGCTAAGCTTTAGCAGACCTACCAGAGATGAGTCTATAAAGTTGTGTTGGGTACCTGAAATACAAAGACATAAAAGCACAATGTCAGTATCTTTGTAAAAATAACGAACTTGATTTTAACAATTATGATATGGTTCAAATTGCCTTCCTACTCTCTCAAGTAAGAGATCGGTTGCAGTATTTAAGGGTCAAATTTCCTCAAATTTTTTTTGTTCACACAATGAATTGAATGTCAAGATTAAGCTTGCAGGGAATGAGTGAAATTAAAAGTAAACAAAATAAGAAAACAGCAGATTGATTTGATGTAAAACGATTAAAATAAAGAGCTAAGAGTAGGGTATTCTCAGGAAACTATTGGTTAGTAGATCTAATTATAGCTAGGTTGTTATAGAACCATTCTTAAACTCAAACTCTAATTATGGAATAACCGGTGGCGTTCCGTGAAACTCTCTATGCCTATAGCTAAGAACTTTAACTTAAACATGCATTCTAACCGAGTTCAATTCTTTACCTTAGTAGATAGGCTGATTCTTATTACACACCTATAAACTAGGCTAGTCAAATAATAGATCCAACTACAGATACCTATGGCGGGTATATCTATTGTCTAGATTCAAGATCTAGTTAATTACTCTAAATCTAGCATTAAGAACAATCAAAGATGAAGAATTCTACAAATAACCTAGCAAAGTGGGCGATCTACTAAACCATATGAATCCCTAATGAGAAACCGTATTCTTAACAAGCAAACTACTCAGACATATTGATTGAAACAAGTAACATATTTGATATAGAAAGCATAAACACAGCAAATAAGATTAGAGTATGAAAGGATCTCTTCACTGTATTGAGAATTGAATGAATCTCTGAAAAACAAGGGATGAATAGCTTATGTTTCTTTGAAAACTTGATGAAAAGCTTGAATAAAACATGATAGGTCTAAACAATGACCACTAAAACTATATATATGCCCTAATAAACGTCCAGGGACTAATAATTCAAATAGGGAAGTCTTCTGGGGCAAATTTTCACTTCTGTAAACTTGAAAGCGTCATGAACTTTACTGGGCCAAAACTGGTGTCGATCGACACAGGAATGTGTTGATAGACACTCTCACTGAATTTGGAACTGAAATCGTCCTTAGCTTTTGTTTCCTTAGCTCTCGCTCTGAAATGTCTCCTCATCTCTATTGTCATCCCTCCTCATAGATACATGAAAAGACTCTAAAAAGACTCGAGAACTAACAGAAAGACTCAAAATCCTATATCTAAAACACTATCGTGTCATTGTAGTATTTTAGGTTGTCAATCCAATCTAATATGATGCAAACAGATGATATATGATTTGAATGCCCTATGTCAAGCCAAGCAGAGAGTTGTTAGTTTCTAACAGTCATAATGTCAAATAACAGAAACGTAATGAAACTAAAATGCAAAACGGCAGTAATAGGCAAACTAATAACAAAGCAGGTAAGATAATAGGCAATCAAATGGATAAGAGATTCGTAAGGATCGGGTAATCGAATAGCGTGGTCTCCTTAATCTATTCCAATGGTAGGCAAAACTTCATAGAAGCTATCCCTAGACAACAAGTTCAATTACCAATTAATCCACTATCGTGATAGAAATCCTCAAGCAGAGCTAGATACACACCTATTCACCATTAGCGATCTCTAGCTAAGCATGCAATATCGAATCAACTTGTTAAAGCTAATACCCGTTCTAAACGGCCAATACCTTGAGAGATAGACGAATATCACATGAATTAGTAGATCCAACATTCCATCGAACACCTTTTGAGCGTGAGAATGTTTGGATTCATATTCCAGTTGATCATAAAGGAACATGCTTTAACCACCTAGAGCGACTAAGGGTACCACAACTACTCTATCTCTTCCTTTAAAATACAGTTCATTACTCATACATATTCAAAGACAATCGCAATGAAATGAATGAAAACCTGATAACATAAGTGATAAAGTATAAACGAAATGAAACAAGAAAAAAATTTCAAATACTTGAAGGTGAATACAAAGTCGAAGGAGACACGATGCGTCTACGAAACACGTCTAATACTAAAAACAAGTCTCTGTAAAATTCAATGATAAGTGATGATGCCCTAGGGAAAACCACTTAGAGGCTATTTATAAAAGCGATACAAATCAAATAAGGAAAGTCGAATGGGCCCAACTGGGCCCCCTGTGATCGAGTGTCTGTTGGATCAAACTTGGCTTCAAGGACTCCACCTTGCGATCGAGTGGTCTGGAGTGAAGACAAGATGCAACGGTCCAAGGACCCTGCGATCAAGTATGTGATCGAGTGGCCTTGGGGATCGAGTGGTTTGGTATCTTCTATTCTCTTATGTATGCTCAGCTTGTCTTGTTGAGTGCAGAATGAGTACATGGGCTTCATGGTGATCGAGTGATGAAGAGAGGGTGATTCCTCCGGCTTCGCTATAGAGTGAAACTGAGCTACTAGCATCTCCAGGGATGTGATATAGCTATTTGGCGTGATATGGCTCTAAGGTTGCGATCGAGTACTTTGGGTGAAGGTGTGATTTAGTATCTTGACTTTCTTCTATGTATCTCCTCTGTTTGAACACTAAAAGCATCCAAATCCCCTGGAAACAACCCAATATGCAATGCACATGCAATCCTAATGCAAAATCATCTTAACTATGCAAAACACACTAAAACGACTATTAATGAGATGAAATGCAGGTGAAACAGACAGTGCCGACCGACATTACCTAGGTGTCGATCGACACCAACTACATCCAGATCTTAGAATTCTTCAAATCCCGATTTCAGCTGCAAAAAGTGCAAACACACCAAAAGTTCATTTCCTATAGAGTCCTAAGAAGTCGAAACAAGAGCTAGATGATGCTAGATGCAAAGCTATAATTGATAAGCAGATTGTAGAGATACCTCTTAGTGATGTTGTGAAGACTTTCCCTATGATCAAACATTATATAAAGAGGATAGTTACTAAGGATTTGAATAATGACCATGGTGTGACGATGATCTCTGCACATGTAAGCGACATTATTCAGAATAGGATTCCAGAGAAACTACGTGATCGAGGAAGCTTTGTGTTAGATTGCTCTATATCTACAAGAAGGTTTCCTTGTTCTCTTTGTGACCTTGGCTCTTGCATCAACTTGATGCCCCGTGCAGTTGCTTTGAGACGTGAGATGACAGATTTCAAAGCTACAAGGATTACTCTTCTCCTGGTTGATCGCTTAGAGAGAATCCCTAAAGGTATCTGAGAAGATGTTATGGTGAAAATTGGAGAATACTTGATTCCAACAGACTTCGTGGTTTTGGAATATGAAAAAGAACCTCTAGATCTTCTAATTTTGGGGAGATCTTTCTTTGCTCAAATTAACGTGAAAGGAGTGTGGATGTCGCATCCCACAATTGAATATTTTGTTAAAGTTTTAAATAAAAGAGATCTCTAGTTTTGGTAAATTTGCCTCGATTAGATAAAGGAGAATTTGCTATTACAGTTTTTAGTATTTAGAGAATGTTCCCCTTTTCGGGACTCTACATCGTATATTTATAGTCCTAGAACCGAGCTAACAATAATAAATGGTCAGCTTGATTCCAGCCGCATATCTCATCTTCATTATTGCTCCGTCTTCATAATCTCGCTCTTCACATCCCGAAATCAGCTCCCCTCATTCATTACTGATTCTGCCGTTACTTCGATCGAAGGATCTCTAATTCAAACCCACATTTTGGGCCACCTTCTTCTTAACGGGCCTCTTACTTTTCATGGGAAGCCCAAAACGTGCCTAGGCCCTTAAGATGACCGTTGAAATTCTACTCCAACAGTTTGCCCCCCAAGTACTTCGGCGCTCGTTACTTTGGAGCACTTAAGATGACCGTTGAAATTCCTCGTATCAAAACAAATGATTGCGAACCCTTGATCCCTGAGATTTCTTTCCTTGGAAAGTGTGCAAATGATTTTACATCCTAGGGTTTCTCGTTTTACCTCTTCTTCACACTCATTATTACCTATATAAACGCGGGACATGCCCTTATAATTCTTCGCCTTTATGTACTCTCTCAAACCGTCCTCTTTAGAAGTTAAACCCTCCAGCTTTATGTTCTTCATTTGCTTTTTCTTGCTCGATTTTTGTTTTAGGATAGAACCTAGATCCGCCGTTTAGCTTAGGTATCGGAACAATCGAACGGAATCCTCAATGATTTCACTAGGTTTTGATCGTTGTTTGGAGATTAGCAACGTGTTCAGCCGTTCTCGCCTCAGATTCTGGCGAACTTTGTGCTGCCGATCAACCTAGATTAACCGCAACTACTCCGTGTTTATCGACTGAATCCAAAATGTCCCTCTAAATCTCCTTTAGATCAAAAATTGGATTTGAATATAAACAGTAATTGTTATGGCTCCGAGACGAACTAACGAGGAGGAGGTTTTCATAGAGGGGAAGTTTGGTAAATACGCGAAGTCAATCCTTACGTCGAGAAAATTCCTTTTAGTGAGAGGGGGATGCGAGATCCCTAAAGACGTTACGTTGGTACCCATGAAGACAAAAGAGACTCCAGAAACTCCTCCTTCAGGGCACTAATTCGCCTTTGAAATCTTCTTTTCGGAGTGCGGACTGTACTTTCCCCTTCCAGAAATCTTCATCGAGCTAATGCACGAACTCGGAGTAGCCCTCCCCCAGCTATGCCCAAACGTAATTCGAACAGTGTTATGCCTCCAGACTGTTGCACACTTTTGCTCAACACTTTGGTGCGTTCTACAACGGTCCGTTCGCTTGGGAC